CATTCTAAACATAGAACAGGGTACACAAATACAATATCAAGAAGGAAACGAACGAGCATCAAACACGTCAAGCTTCATATCACATACAAAATAACATATTTACCAATGAGATCGCTATTTATCAACTGTAACAATACTCCATATTTGCCTGTGATGTACGCTACTCATACAACTTTATTGAAAGCTGCCCTTGTTGGTTTCAATATAGGAAATGATCACGAAAAGTGGCTATCGTAGAAGAATCTACCATGGCCCTGACTTTTTAAGGATAAGACACAAACAAAATATATATGAAGGTGAAATTGAAGGACCTTGCAAAGTCTTGATAAACATTTCGATAAATTCTGCCTTGTTTGAAAACAAAAGCAAGTTTTCATAGGTATACCATAATGCTGTTGACGAAGATGTAGTTGAGCAGAAACTCGTGTATTTGTATGATTGCGTCCAGCGTTTATGGTTTGCTTTGATATGGAAGTTTACGTGTCAGTAGAATTCACAACCATATATTTGCACCACCGTATACCTTTCTTGGAAAGGAAAGTTATCAAGAGTAATCAAAGGCGATCTCTCAATTAGGATTGGGTATCGTGGTGTACAGAGTAGGGAAATCAAATATGTTTATACAAGGGTGTTGGTAGTTTGTCAAAATCTCTTTTTGAGTTCTTAAAAATCGACTTAACATTAATTCCACTTCCTTCTAAATTAATCATTATCACAATAAGACCTTGATTTGAAAGTACTAACAATGGTAAGAAGATTCGACAATGGCTTGGTTAAACAGCTAGACGAGCCAGCATATATGGATTCATGTGAAGTTTCGGAATCCAATATAGGTCTTTTTTACACTCGATTAAAGAATATGTACTATGATAAGATAATATAGCAATTATATGTATATAACTGCAGATCTACTTCTTGAACTGTTATATAATCATAATCTTCCTGACGCTCTAAACGTCCGGGTTAGAGGATGGAACAATTTACAATTATTACCAGCCTTCAGTGGTCTAAAGCGGGTGGGTATGTTAGCTCTGTTTCCTTTAGTTTGCATATATTTTTTAATATAAGTGTCATATTTTATTTGAAGAGAGTCAGGATAAAAAGTAATTAGCAATGAAATAAATTCCAAAAGGCGTAGGGGAGACAACTCTTTCGAAATTAACGACATTTCCGTCACCTGACACCTTTCACCTATATAATTCAAGGCTTTATGAAATTCACAAAATTGTAGATTATACAATCTGCATCACACACAATACACAGTTGAAAAAAAAAACCACACACACATAGTTGCCATAAAAACAAAACCCAAATGCCGAGATAACAGCACACACATTGCCACAAAAACAAACCACGCAGTTGCCACAAAAACAACACACACAAGTGCTACAAAAACAACACACATATTTGTCAAAAATACCACATACACTTGCCATAAAAACAGCACACACATTGCCACAAACAGTACATAGTTGCCACAAAAACAACACACACATTGCCACAAAACATTCAGTTGATACAACAAGGGTCATAAAATGGTCCCTTTAACCCAATCGTAGAAATGTTTCGTCTTTCACTTCTGAAAGAATTTATGACTGGTTTAATCTATCCAAGAGTGCGTTGTGGTACCCTACGTCGTGACTGTAAAGAACGACAACTCTAATAGAAATGTTGTACTACCTTGAATCTTTACGGTCTTTTCGTAGTGATCGTAACTTTTTTCCATGCATATTTTTTTCTGAAAAAGGTTCATGATTTCTCGAATATTTCACTCCAAAACGGTAAATTTTACACATCAAAAATTATAAGTCACAAATACAGTAACTAATGAGGATTTCGGGAAGATTTATAAATATGTTAAAATGCGTACATTATTTGTTAAGTTAAATATTATGTATATTAGTTATAAAAAGATATCAAACAGTGAAAGCACATTCGTAAGCAACCTATTAGATTTACGTCGACTGAGTAATATAGATGAGTATGCATTAAAAATAAGGTAGCAGGAACAGCTTATTTGATTTTTTCTGAATTATTGGTAATGTCGGTGATATAAAGTATAGTAGTTAGAAAATTAAAAAAGACAAAACAAACAAACAAACAAAAAAAAAAAAACAAACAAAAAAATGCATATTCCAAACTATCGCTACAACGTAGAAGAAATTTATTTCTGACCACCTGGGTTAGAATTAACAACACTGTCATTGTAACAAACTACTTACTGTTCAGCAATTCCAACTTGAAAATCCTTCACAACATGACCACGTGTAAACACTATGAAAATTTCATATCCTGTGAAGCTAGTTTTTAGTACCTAGACACAGGTTGGAGACTGCGCAAATAGTAATCTCGAACACAAGGCTAAAATATCATTCTGAAAAGAATTAGACCCCACTTCAACATAGCAAGACCAATTTTAACAATGATCTATTTTTTTTTAAATTTTAGTTAAAACCTGTATTACGGGATAATCTAATGAACAAATATATCGCCAGTGACAACACAGTATACTGCTACTTTTAACTCGTTCAATTCAGTACTACATGCATTATCATTGCTTTGAAAAAGAAAACCCCACGATAGATTAAAAAATGTATATATTTTATCAAAAAAAGAAAAAAAATTAACGCGAATTTTATTTCAAATTAAAAGCATATTGTACATTTTACAGAACTTCACACTAAAGGGATACTAATTATACAAAATGCAAAAGAGGTAAAATAAAAAATATATAGTATTTTTTATTTGTTTGATTATCAAATATACTAATGTATAAGATAAAATGAATTATGCAGCCAATAAAAACGGATCACTTCAGATTTTAAAGAGACCTGCTTAGAATACACAGTTATTATTATATCTTTGAATGACATTTCCAAAACTCCATTCGATCATGTCCTATCACCAAGACATGGAACGTTTTTTGCAGAAGTTCAAATAGTATTTTGAAGAAATAATCTGAATAGTGGTATATGGATAGAAACATTACAGAAACAAATTGTCACTAGTTTCAGTATCTGTAGAATAACTCCATGTACAAGAAATGAAAAAAAGAACAGTCAATACGAAATTCATCAGTTAGACACGTAAAAAGGTAAACTCAACGTATGAATATAAAATCTATATATAGTATGTTATATCGACAGTGTGTATCCTTATAAACAAATATAAGTAATATTTTATCTACCTGTTGTTTATGTCTCTGTTTTGTCGTTATTACTCCATTGATCATATATAGTCTACTTCGTTACATATTTTGATTTCAGGAATAATACTCAGAGATCCTAATTTAATTGATTTTTACAAATAACTTCAATATTATGCTAAAAACACAATATGGTACTTGGGTGGTAAATGATATTCTAATCCACTATATAATTTAATTCTATAGCGTTTTCCCAGAGTGATTTGCTCTAAAAACCACAAACAGAGAAATGTTTCTCCAAACAATTAGCGCTGACAAGGCCAGACGGTGTCATCACTACACAGTGACCTTGACCTGGGTCAGGGTTTCCTGGCGACCAGAGGGAGCTGTTAATCGCTGAGCCGTCATTGTGCTGCCATTTCATGGACAAATACCTACCAGACACAAACAAGTTAGGGTAGCCAAGTTCTGCAAAAATGAGAAGGAAAATATTTGTGTCATGTTTCATAAATAAATAAACAGTATGAGATATCAGAGAGCCATTAAAACTAACAAATAGGATTGACTGGCAATTTACATGCCTAACATGATAGATTCATGAACAAAGAATTCGATCTAGGAATATCATATCATTAGAAGTTACTTATCATTATTTACCTCTGTTTATGACTAATTGACCAATACTTATCTCGGTTTAGAAAAGACTGACCAATACTTACCTCGGTTTAGAGATGATTCTCCAATACTTACCTCGGTTTAGGAACGACCGACCAATTCTTACATCGGTTAAGAGATGATTCACCAATATTTACATCGGTTTAGAGATGATTCGCTAATACTTATCTCGGTTTAGGATCGACTGACCAATACTTACACCAATTAAGAGATGATTCACCAATACTTACCTCGGTTTAGGAACGACTGACCAATAATTACATCGGTTAAGAGATGATTCACCAATACTTTACTAGGTTAAGGAATGGTTGACCAATACTTACCCCGGTTTAGGATCGACTGACCAATACATACCTCGGTTTAGAGATGATTGACCAATACTTACCTCGGTTTAGGAACGACTGACCAATACTTACATCGGTTAAGAGATGCTTCACCAATACTTTACTGGGTTGTGTGAATAAAATTGAGGTCTTTATACTTACCTCAGGTTTGCTGGAAAGACTGTTGTATACCTTGTTCTCATTTGAGAACACTTGACATTAATTATTTCGATTAACCAAGTTTACGTTGCGGGTGTCGACGATGAAGCAGAAGACGCTTACTCTTCCGTGTTTTTTGCAAGAAAATCCAGACACTGGATTATGCTATTGAATATTAGATCAGCTTCGACATGTTCAGAGAATAATCAGTTGTAGATACTATATATTTTTTTATGAAATTTTTTGAAAATTCACCGTAAGGAAATTAGAATTATCACACTTGCCATAAAGCTTAGTGAAAAGCTATCCATGTCGGTTACGTTATTGATAAAGATGGATGTTCCTTATTATTGAAATACAAACATCATGTACATTATATGTGAAATTGGCATTTTTCATAACCATTGTTGGCTTGCTTGGTTTCTTTGGTAAATTAAACCTTGTTCTCATTTGAGAACACTTGACTTGGAGAACAGTTAGAAACACTAAAAATAGGTCTATTGAAATATCGCGACTTAACTCGACAATTTTTTTCAAACCAAAAAGTCGACATGTATGTTTTTTAGTTGTACTTATATATGATGTCAATTCGAGATATGTGATATTAAGCGAAAAAAACTATCAAATATCATCCATTTGTCAGACACGAAACAGCTGATTAAAAGTTTAAAGAAATAAAAATGGACGTCTATTCCTACCCAGTCTAACGTTTCCGGCGATGACATTCTGTAGACTCAACATGGCGGATTCGGAGTCGATCTTGATCAGCCATGAACGTTGCTGCATACACTCCTTGGAAGCACTCTCCTGATTCATACTGACTTCGTTCACTTTATACATGAACCTTCCGTGTTGAATTTGACGGTAACCAAGAGACGTATATTTACCTTAAAGTTGAAAAAAGAGCTACATGGCTATACAATCTAAATCATTGTCCCGTAACTGTATGATTAAAAGTTCAAAACAACCTAACCTTTTATTGATATAAGTGGATTTTTTTCCACTGGGAATTTCTGCCTGGTGTTATATTCATCAAGGTATCGCCTGCTAATGATAAATTACTTTGATGATAAAGGATAATTTCATGAACTGAAGGAACTGGCTGAAATACTACTTACAGATCAGGAAATTGTGTTATGTTAGTGGATTAAATGAATTTTGTATTGGAGAAACTCGCTGTTTGAATATTGGGAAAACAGCAACGATATCGTGCATAATTCAGTGCATGTGTTTGCAAGGTTGAAAGACAACTGCAGTGTTTGGCATTACTATAAACTATGGCTATAAATTCAAAAGACAGTGAAGTTGCTGAAGTTCATCAATTCTCTAAAAGCTATAAGGTTTAATCATTTAACTTAACAATATTACTGCTGCTAAGATGAAATAGTTTACGATTGCAAGAATTAGCGTTATATCCCAACCACCTCATGACTACCGCAGTCCTCTAACATTGTTACATGAATATCATAGAAGATATTGAAAACTACTTAAACCCCGACATCTCTTCACCATTATTACATGAAAATAACATTTGCAATTTAATACATAAAAGTGGAATAGTTTGTTAAAAGGTAAGATCGATTCTCAGTAATGCACATACCTGATTTTTGTACATTTGTGGTGATTTATGAAGAATTATGTTCAATCATATATAGCTTACCTTTGTTGAAAAAAAATGGCGTCATTTCGGCAGAAAATGTTGTGGATGTTGTATGCATTAAGGAGAACATACTACATTTTTTCTGGATGATGTCAAAGTTGAAGAAACGACATTCCTTTTCCATGTGGCATAGTTTACCACACACTGGAAGATTTTTTGACTGTGTCTCAAGCAAAACATGCTGTTCATATTCTATAGGTGGTGAAATTGGCACTCTGTTGAATTCTGAGTATCGCTCTGGAATAAAGGACTATAATTTTAAAATAAACAAGTTAATTTCTTCTGCATGGATATTAAAGGGAAAGATAATAGAATAATTGACAATATTACTTTATTTTCACATATAAGAGATTTAAACCTGTTGCCATCTGATAATGACAGATTTATATACTTAAAAAAATATCCTAATATTTTTTGAGAAAGTTATTGAAATCGCAATTTATATATAAAAAAGTATTTAATTTCTTTTCAGTTTTCAAGTTACAAAGGTCCAAAGGATGAGTTTTTCGTGTTGGTGGTACGTTATCATATACAAATCATGTATATAGGTGCTTCCCTGTCCTGTATTGTGAAAGGAAAAAAAATTAATAGCGATGTTTTTACATACCTGTTTCTTCAACATTGTAGCAACCGCTAAGGTCAAATCGAAGACAAATGTGTCGATGTATGCTTTGGGGTAAGATTCGAATGTACCGCGCAGTGATGTTTGGAACAAGGGTTGATTTCACCAAGGTATTGCTATCATAGTTTCCGGTAAATATCTACCGTTTTACATGAAAACAAAAATAGTAAACTAAAATACTGATATATGTACCCGACGCAGAACACATGCTTATAGAATGTAATATGATGTTTGATAATATTCCAACAAATCAAGAATGTACTCCTACGGTTTATTTGAACAAATACATTTTAGAAAGGTTACTGCAGTGTAGCCGTCAGAATATGTGTAACAGGAAAAAAATATGTTTTATTTTTAAGAATATATTTCCGTCTTTTATTGTATGGTATTAAAATTTTAAGGAGCAGATATTGTTAAAATGTTATTTTTTCATTTGATTCAATATGCTCGATACAGTATAGATTTTGCCAAAAAGAGTGGTTATCTTATTTTTTTGACATTTTCACTCTTTCTCAAGATCAAGAAACAAGCTGAAATATTTATTTTGTGTGATAAGATTCTAGAAAAGTCGGAGTTTGAAATTTGCGTGGTGATAAATCAAATAAAATCTATTTGACAACTACACAATACCTTAGCAAACAGAAAGCTTTGAAATTAACCGGATCAAGTCATCAAAACGAAGTCCATAAGCGAAATTTCTTTAAAACGTCATTTAAATCGCCCCTTTTCAGTTTACAAGTACACTGATTGATACAAACAATACACAAAGTGTATGCGAACACGAAAGTGTAACATATTATGTAGGAATTAATTGCATATCGATATATGTCAAACATGTAATCCTTCAAATACATTTCGAAAAAGAAACAGAATACCGAATTCATCAAGCAAATTTTAAAAAAATGATATATCATGAGCCTTACCTATATAGACATATCAAATTATTTGTGAAGTTAAATATTAAATCGACACGAATATAAGATTTTGTTAAATAGATACATAAAAATCTTCTTAAAAACAAACGAAAATTCTCAAATTAATTATACTAAAAGACAAATTTATTTCGACCCAAACGGTACGTATTCATCAAGACCTAACTTGTTTATGACGTCACATCGATGTTATTAGACACATGTTTTGCTTGGACATATGACATAACATAACAGGCCAGTTATGTGATTAAATCAATTTGGTCATCATTTTGTAGATTACGACTTATTCAAAACAAGCGTTTTATAACCTAGAATAGGACATTTTCCATAACTGCAAACTAAAGCTAATGTGCATAAGTAGTATTTATATGAAGTTATATTAAATTAAAGTAATTGCAAATTATATCCTGGGTGCTGAAATAAGCTAAGGTGAACAAAATGTATCATGATAAAGCAACTCAATCATTAAGGACAAACTTACCTATGATTGTTATATAGTATATAAGAAAATACTTATATTTCATGATATTTGGTATCAATCTGTGAAAAAAAATATACTCTTAACACTAATCCCTTGTGTTCACTGCTGAAGTCAAGCGTACCTTCGATTGGTTGTTTTGTGAAGTCGCTAAAGTCCATGAGTTGCCATTCATGCTGTACCAAACGATATATGTCTTGACCCAATACCACATGTCTCCTCGGCCCAGTAATATCACAGTGTTAAACACTGTCTCTCTCGGAAAACGAACCTAAAACATGCCGATATATCAGTCATTACTTATTGATTGCTGCTTGGCTATTCAAGATTGGTTTGAAGAATTTAATTGGAAAGTATGCCTTTAAAACTTCTATGGGGAATGCTTGTTTTCTCTTTCATTGATGAAATGTTATTTGTGAAATATATCTCTACTTTGACCAATCGGAATACCGTGTTTTCATTTCTGTATTGGACAGCTGATATCCCCCACATTATCAGATCCTAGACAAAATAATAGTGAAAACCGGGGAAAATTACCTTCCCTGGTTGTAACTACTGACAAAGTGAAATGGACAACGCAAGATCAAGCGTGTTTGTTTAGATTTTATTTTTTATTACAATTAGTCGTAGGTAGTTCGGAACAAACCTTGCGCTGCTCAAACGTTTTTTGTAGGGTTAGCATTAGGGTCTTCCAGCTGTTATCAGAAATAGGCATGGATATATATAGCAGGGTTGGCTACCAGGACGTGCTGTTGCAGGCATTAAAATAGTGCCTGAAATCAACTAACACTGATGATGTGGCAAACCCAGGAACTGTGACATGGACAACGATCACTAATATCAATATGATATCAATATGTGTACACTCAGAGTTTTTTACACCACGTTTGTATTTATTGGATAACACGACTATTGCTACTAAGGTATAGAAATCAACAACTTTATCACACTGTGAGGAAGTTGGTAACTGTTTTCGATCCTTGCTACAAGCCATGCCGAGGGACGGCAGGTATGTGAGGGAACAAAATACACATGTTTCAACATTATCAGGTGCTGAACATAAGGCTAGTAAATCAGGATTTACATATGAATCAGACCCTTGTGATTCACAGGAGAGTGTCAACTCAGGAGTCAGTCGGTTAAGAACCTGAAGCACAGGGGTAAAGTTTCCAGGTTGGTAATTTAGCTCTAGATACTATTCTACTCATGAATTGGGACACACCCTAGGATACTAGGTACCCCCGGCAAACATCCATCAGCAGACCACAATCTGTTATCAAATAGATGATAGGAGTACATGGGGCCCAGTTACAAGAGGTGATCAAACCCAGATTATCCACTCTTTGCTAGAGTTCAAGACCTCTCTGTCAGGACAAAACAATGTTACAAGCGGGAACCCCAATCAATCTAGAACTCATCTTAGGGTTATAGAACCAGCGAATACTTGGAGGGGTTCCACTAGTAGACTGAACCCTACCATCCATACCCAAGATTGATATAGGCGTTGAGAGTGGGTGTTGACTATCATGGTTCGCGACGCGGCTCGCTTGACTGACGGTTCATGTCGTTCATGTGATCTATAACAATCCACTTTTAGAGGCAAACGGACTTCAAGTAGTAACCCCCCAGACGATGTCCTAACTTAGGGGGAGGGGAAAAGCCACATAGTGTAGGAGTAGTTACAGCTCTGATGATGGACGGATGGGCCATCGTCGTCGTCAAAGATGTAAAAGCCACCAGAGATATAACATACCCACATAGGGAGGAAAGATGGAAGCTATTTGCCCTCAAGTTTGGGTGTATATTTTAGGAAAACGGGTGACATAAACAATTACTCAGTATGATTATTGTTAATGATGATGCGATCCTGTCGAATATCGAAACAGAAAATCAGATTTAGTAGGACAGATGTGCCTGAAGTGACCCGCCGAAAATTCTAATGTTTTAAAGATGAGGAAGCAGAGAGTTAAGCCGAGTTTGCACAGCGAATACAGACTTTGTTGTGCAATTATTGGAGCCAATCGATACCACGCTCACTATTGATAGTGAAGCTGAACCCACTGAAGTATTTTGAATTTTCAGCGCCACTGGGACTTTCACTTTGTCTTAGAGGGTTGTGCAATCATACAAAACACACATGAATGACATTGATTCAAAGTGGGTTAAAATTGTTTTATTATTCTTTAGCTTCTCTCGTGTTTATATCTCAAAACTTTTTACCCTTTGATATAGATACATTTATCTTCCAACAGTGTGCCCAGTATATAATTGTGCGTATTGATGCCTTTGAATCTACAATCATTATGAAAATACCTTCAAAACGTATATATGCTATTCAATACTCCTAATAAAATACCCTAATCAAAGTAATTCATTCATGATGACCATGTTGTTTTTAACCTATCATTACTTAAACATGACGTCATAACTCCTCTTGCAAATATAGCATGTGTTACCGATAAATAAGTCGATTACTCTTGGAGATATCTGGTCCAAAGTTTCTCGAGCTTTTTTGCTACATGACACCTACGTTTTTATTTTCTGATATATTTATTTCTGACCGATACCTCTGTTTTAGTACTTATGAATACAGGTGTAATAAGCTGGTAAGTGCCACGCCCTTTTTAGGCTTTGAATTTTCATATCAAAAGCGATACCTGTATAAACGGTTTCACATCCTTGTCGTTCGCACACCAACCATTATGATAAAGCCTGGCATTCTTTGGTCTGGGATTATCGGAACCAAGAACTCGTGTAGTTGATGCAGTTAATGCCGAATCATCCAAGCCATAGAGTCCGGACACGAGGTATTCCGAACAGACTGTCTTGTCTACAACAAAACAAAGAGAAGAAAGGAAAAAAATAATTCCCGAAGCAAGCGCAGGCGTTTTATTGGGCCGTAACACATTGTTCCATTATCTGATATCTTCCTTGCACAGTTTTTCCCCATCAAATGTCAGTTTTTCTGTTGTGCTTGTGTTCCATGATGACAGAAGAATATTGCATGTTAAAAAAAAATAATTGTAAAGAATAACATGGAACAAATATAACCTTTAGTCAAAAGAAATTTGAAATGCGTTTCTTGATCTGAAGAATCAAAAATATATTGATAACTGTATGTAAGATCAATATAGGAACGTATAGGATAACTTGTATTGCGCAAAATGGGAAGAAGAAAGGGTTTAGCAAACAACTAATGTAAATAAGTTAGTATATGCCAGTTATATCAATTTACTGAATTTTGGACATTCCGAATAAAAATCTCAGTTATCATGCGATATCAAGAAAAATTGACATTTTTGTTTCGTTTTCGGGTATGATTTTATATTCTCTATCTCCGCTCGGCTATCTCTCATTTCCTCTCCTCTTTTGTCTGGACATGAAAAAGTACGATCGTTGGGAATGGTACATGATGGAGAGGTTTCTTTTCTATCTGCAAACTGCCAAGGTAACAGGGAAACACTTAAAAGGAAATACGTTTTCTCGTATCTTAAAACTGAAAGGTATTGTATTTACTATTTACAAGACAAACACTTCACGGAATAAAATCAATTTCTTAATAGCAACGATTGGGGATTTAATTGTTACTT